ACACAGGGTACACACACATATACACACATATACACACAGGGTACACAGGGTACACACACATGGTACACACACATATACACGCAGGGTACACACAGGGTACACACATATATACACACAGGGTACACACATATACACGCAGGGTACACACACACATATACACACAGGGTACACACACATATACACATACACACAGGGTACACACACATATACACACAAGGTACATACACATATACACACATATACACGCAGGGTACACACAGGGTACATACACACATACGCACAGGGTACACACACATATACACACACAAGGTACATACACATATACACACAGGGTACACACAGGGTACACACAGGGTACATACACATATACACACAGGGTACACACGGGGTACACACACATATACACACAGGGTACACACACACTCTGCCCACACACAGACGCAACTACAGCCAGAAAGGCATCGCTGTACTCTGTATTTTAGTCCATTAACCATCACAATCAGAGAGCATTAGTCAAAGCAGCAGAAGTCTAGCTGAGAAGCTTGAGTAACATCAATAAGACGATCAGATGAACCTTCAGTTCCTCATGAATACGGACTGTTACGGTACCTCGTCTGTTGTATTTTGTCATTCTGTCGTTATTTCTGTCTGTGTCTGTCCTGGACGGTTCTATAGACTTCTCTCGGTGTGCTGTGTATGGCAGTTGTTTCTTTCCGTCTCCTTCCTGTATGAGATTTTTGTTCCCTGACATCTTACTCTTCACTTCCTTCTTTCAGTGTGTTCAAAGCTCCGCCTTCACCTCCTGTTACCTCCGTCTCTCTGCGGTCCCTCTCTCTCGGCTCAGGACTCGTCCGTGGAACTGCAGCAGAAGCAGCATTGATGGGGGAGTTAGAGAGAGAAGCAGCAGAAGCAACAAAGACGTGTAGCGCCTGTGACCCAAAACTGACAAGACTCGGCCTTTTGTACACATCAGACCACAGGGACGTGGTCTGGAATTCAAAACAGTGTTTACCTCCAGCACCATAACTGTTATTTTAGGCTTCAGCTCATTCTGTTGCGTCAACGTGGTAAACTGTGTTCACTGTTTCCTTGTTACGTCTGTTTAATCAGCTTCCTGTTTCTACTTTAAGCTGTATTTTCCACCACATCCTCCCTCTCTCTCATACTCAAATGTTACATCGCTAACTTCCTAAACAATGGACATTGGGCAAACAATGGAGATTCATTGAAATGGTTTCTTGCATTGTTGAGATAATGATTTGGTTCCGACGAGGCGGTGGGCTGAGCCGTACATCAGAGATCAGACTGTCCTACGTGTTCTCTGGTGGCACATGGTCTGCTCTGCCCACATCTGCTGCCATGTGACAGACTGACAGCGTGCCATGGCATGAAATACAATACCAACTACCGGCCTCACACACACACATGCATGTTACATGCACAGTGCCGTGTCGTTGCCCACGCAAACTCAACCTCGTTCTTTCTTATAAATCCAGTTTCCTGAGCCTGTGTTGTAGGCAACAGATGCTGGGGTTTAGAGGCTCGCATCAACATTATCGTGGTTTGACATTATACGCTTATTTGGGTGGTATCAATCTCTCATCTAACTTTTGGCAAGAATATGAATCCCCAAATCTGAAAATGCTTCCTTTAATTTGCTTGAATTAAAGAATGCTGATCAAACAGCTGTGGTGTTTCTATACTGCAGTCTCTTGTTACTTTTTGGCCTACATATATGCTAAAACTATCTGATGATATCTGTATTAATGATGTTCTCAACTGTATGTTATATGCTGCACAGTCGCCCATTTTGTGTTTTAAAATTTGATTGAGTTTAAGATTTTAATTATTGAGATATTATTTTCAACCATAATAATTCTGGGCAAATGTAAATCACCAGTGCACACGAGTTGTTCAAATAAGGAGTGTGAAGGTTTTTACTGGAGTATAACCCATAGTGTATACTGCATATTTATATAAAAGGTTTAAAGGGTTCGCTGATGCTGTCTGCCCCCCCCCCCCTCCCTGCCATCACTTTGTGTGTGTGTACACACTTCCTCTTTCTCTTTCCTCAAGAGGATAAACAGTGAAAGTAATTTTTCCATCAGCCTTTCATTTCTTGGACCATCTGCTAATGTGAGAGACGCGGCTCCATTAGAGCCGGAGGAACAGGCGGCGCTTTGACTGCTTCGTGCCATAAAACAATCTCTGATTGTGCAGAAGAAGCATTCCAGTACAATTATTGTGTACAAATGCTGCCGAATGTGTCGTGAATAGTCTTGTATGTAATTGGCGGATTAATGGGATCGTGGTTTAATGGTGTCAGTAGATAGCGACCGTAAGAGATGTCTTTTTAAAAAGGTGTAAATGTTGCCGATGTTTGTTTGTTTCACACAGAGTCTGCCAGACAATCAGTCTGCATTCAGGTCCAGGTGGAGTTCAAGACTTCTGCCAAACCTAACTGATGTTAATGTGGAGTAATACAGTAGTCTCTGCTTCTGACAATATGCTGTGTGTGTGTGTGTGTGTGTGTGTGTGTGTGTGTGTGTGTGTGTGTGT